TCCACCCCCTCTCCAGTCCCAGTGCCTTCAGTCCAAACCCTTGGGGCCCAAGCCTCTTCCCTCCAAGGGAGACGTTCACGTATTCAAGCTCCGTTGTCAGCTGAATTAAAAGCCATTCAGACTCGGTCTCAAACAAAATCGCAGACTCTGCCGAACGAGGGGCAGTCGAGTTCATGCCGAGCCCGGTGACAGCGCCACCTCGTGGGGGAATGACCGAAGTGCCCGACATGCCGGAACTGTTCGGTGGAGCCACAGCGCCATCTCGTGGCGAGACTGCAACAATGCAGCGATTTTTTCCAACAACATATAAAAAGAAGAGTACATCTAAGAAAACAATGACAACACAACAAATGGATTATCTTTTGACTTCGGGATTTTGCAAAGACGAAGAAAATTTAGATGAAGCACAGCAACAAAGAGAGGACATTATACAGATTACAGCATCAGAAGGTGTTCCGGTGTGGATGCTGTCGGCAGCGTAAGCAGCAAAAAGCTTCTTGCATTCTTTTGATACAGCCAAAAAGAAATATCAACAGGATCCTCAAACTTCCTTTTCGGATTTAGGAGTGAGGCCGAAAACCTCAAAGCAAAGAATGAGGTACAACCGATGACTTCCACAACTCCATTGTTCATGCAAATACCAATGGAGTCTCCAGAGGAGGAATCTCAACAGCCGGTGAAGATGATGGACTGGAAGCGCATCAGAAAAGCATTGGCAAAAGACAAGCTTTTATTTCTGGGTTCAGGAGATTTGACAATGCCAGTGACATATGATGCCCAGGGACAGAACCCGAGATGGGAAAGGATGGGTCACGAAACACTCAAAGACTTAGGGAAGGCTGCTCAAACTTTTGGGCTGGATTCACAATATTTCAAACAACTATTAAGAGGGACATTCACTACGTATGACCTTACGCCATATGATATTCGAAGCACTGTGGCAATGATTCTCACTGACACACAGAGTCTCGTCTGGGAAAAAAGATGGAGAAAGTATCTTTCAGAGTTGTGAAATAGATATCAAGGTGGGCCAAATGCGAATCTCACAGAAGCACAGTTGGCAGGAGATCCTCCGGATGACAACCCAGGGGAACAAGCAGTGCGGCTTCCATGAAGAGTGTTAAATGACATCAAAGAAGCAGCGCGAATGGCAATCATGCAGATTACGCCAGCAGGAACTCCAGAGGTTCCGTTCTCTTGCATCAGGCAAGGTCCCGCAGAACCATTCATGTCGTTGATCGATCGACTCACACAAGCTGTGGATTGACAGGTGACGATTGAAGAAGCAAAGAGGCCTCTCTTGGAGAGCTTAGCTTTCGGCAATGCCAACCCGGATTGTCAACGGGTCATTAGTGCCATGCCAGGATGGCCATCCTTGGCAGAGATGGTGGAGGCATGCAGCAAGGTGGGGACACCTCAGCATGTCGCATCGATTGTGAAGAACGAGTTAAGAGAGGAATGGGAAGAACAGATAAAGGGACACTCAGAGAGGCAATAGGAAGACAAGGCATTGGAAAAGATGCTGGAAAAATACTTCATCAACAGAACGAGAACACAAACAAAGTTCTTGCAACAATGCAGAAGAAGAGCAATCCCCCAGGAGGACAGTGTTACAAATGTGGGGCGTTTGGACACATGAGAAAGAATTGTCCACAGACATATACACCAGCGCCAGCGCAAAAAGCGGAAAGGCCAATTTGTGCGCCGTGCAGAAGAGGAAGACACTCTGTGAAAGACTGCTATTCTCGGTCAGACGTGGAAGGAAATCCTTTACTGTATCCGGGAAACGACAGAAGGAGTGCAGGAAATCGCCAGCGCTCTCAGACACAAGTACTGGCAGTGACAAAAGACCAGACAGGGCAATCATCAGTGAGCAACAAGCAGACGCCCTCAGCAAAACCCTCAGCCGATTCTACAGTGACCCAGACCTCCTCCCACCAGAGGCACAGTGTACATTGGCAACTTCTAAATTAGTATGCTTCCTAGACGAAAATCATGCAGAGATACCAACGGGTATCTGCGGAGATTCATACAAAAAGCAAGATTCCTTGATAGTTGGACAAGACAAATGCAGCATCCTTGGGCTCATTGTTTATCCTACGGTTGTTTCTGCAGACAAGAATACAGAATTGACGGTTCTGGCAAGAGTGCTTCGTCCACCATTGACTGTACCGGAAAATACTGTGGCTGCGAGAGCTTTCGCCTTGCCACCACACACCATTGGAGAAGTCATGTCAATCTTCGACAAGGAAGGGTTTCCTATGAAGGAGAATGTTGAGGTACATACTACATGGGTAAAGCACCTAGGTCGAGATCGACCCATGCTCACGTGCTGATTGACATGCGGAGACAGGACAATAGCAATCAGAGGTATGCTCGACACAGGGGCGGATGTCACAGTAATATCGTACATCTTTTGGCCACGCAGTTGGAGCTTGGTCGCTCCCTTGGGTTCTCTCTCAGGCATTGGGGGAGCTTCTCTGTGTCTGCAGAGCGAGAATTCCATCGTTGTCACGGGACCAGGAGACAAGAGGGCGATCATTCGTCCTTTTGTTGTCCAGAAGCCGATCACAGTCTGGGGTCGAGACCTTTTGGCACAATGGGGTGCGAAGATCGAAATGGATTTTTAATCGGGGTCACTGCGGCACTTGCCACATTGAAGTTGACATGGAGAACAGACAATCCAGTTTGGGTGGATCAGTGGCCCCTTGAGTGGAAAAAGTTGAGTGCTTTGAAAAACCTGGTCAAAGAGCAATTGCAGAAGGGACACATCAAGCTAACAGACAGTCCTTGGAACTCTCCAGTGTTTGTCATCAAGAAAAAGCTATCAGGCAAATGGAGTCTGTTACATGATCTCAGGAAGATCAATGAAGTCATCGAAGATATGGGACCGCTTCAGCTGGGACTTCCATCTGTCTCAATGATTCCTAGAGATTGGCCGCTTGTGGTCATCGACCTCAAGGATTGTTTTTTCAGTATTCCGCTCCATCCAGATGATGCTCCGAGATTTGCCTTTTCAGTTCCGAGTATCAACAAGGAAACGCCTCTGCAGCGGTACCATTGGGTGGTTCTTCCACAAGGACTAAAAAATTCTCCGACGATCTGTCAATGGTAAGTGGCATGAGCTTTGGCACCAGTGCGGAAGAAGTTTCCGAAGGTGAAAATCATTCATTACATGGATGATTTGCTCATTGCAGCATCAACACAACAGGAGCTGCAAGAAGCTCGTGACTGTGTGATCGCAGAAGTGCAAAAGGCAGGTCTGGAAATCAGCATTTCAAAGATTCAAGAGGTTGTGCCTTGAAAATGTCTAGGGTGGAAGATTTCAGAGAGAACAATAAAACCTCAGAAAATGGAGGTCAGCACAGAGATCAGCAATTTGCATGATTTACAACAGCTTTTGGGAGAGATCAACTGGATGAGACCAGTTTTGGGAATCACAAACAGCGACATTCCAGTGTTGCTCGATCTTTTCAGAGGAGACACAGACATTCGATCTCCCAGGACACTCACGTAAGAAGCGAAGAGAGAGTTGGAGAAAGTCACAGACGCGATACAGAAAAGGCAGGCACATCAATTTGTTCCAATGTTGCCTTTTCAGTTGGCAGTGCTGGGGAAGAAAACACAGTTCCATGGTTTGATCTTCCAATGCGATGAATCACAAAAAGACTCTTTGATAATCATAGAGTGGGTTTTTCTACCATACATGCCTTCAAAGACGATTCTCACAGATTTAGAGATGGCAGCACAAATCATCATAAAGGCGAGAACAAGGTTGCTGACGATGGCAGGACGGGAATTCTCAGTCATCAGATTACCTCTGAAGCAAGACTATTTCGATTGGGTGATGCAACAATCAAAAGACTTATTAATCGCATTTTTAGCTTTTCCGGGATTTTGCACAATCCATTTTCCACAGCATAAAATACTGCAATCACAAATATATTACAGAGTGAAACTAAGAATAAGTGAAGAAACTTTGGACGGCATCATAGTGTTCACTGATGGCTCAGGGAAGACACACAAGTCGGTGATCACGTGGAGGAACTCAACAACAGGGGATTGGGAATCAGATGTAAAGACGGTCCAGGGCTCTCCACAAATTGTGGAGTTGGCAGCCGTTGTCCGAGCGTTTCAGTTGTTCAAACAACCTCTCAATCTGGTCACAGATTCCACATATATTGTGGGTGTGGTCTAAACGATTGGAGGGTTCGCTCTTGAAAGAAGTCAGTAATGAGGTTTTATACTCATATCTGACGAGTTTGAAAACGTCGCTAGAAGGCAGGGAAAGAGAATATTTTATCACGCACATTAGAGCGCACACAACACTTCCGGGGTTTTTAGCGGAAGGAAATGCTCGAGCGGACAGGTTGACAATGCCCATTTCGCAAACACTTCCGGACATTTTTGAGCAGGCAAGATTGAGTCACGCGTTCTTTCATCAGAATGCACAGGCGCTGATGGAATCCTTTCGTCTCACAAAGAGTCAGGCGAAGGAGATCATTAGTGCTTGTCCAGACTGTCAGCTTGTGCAGCCACCTTCTTCTACAGGAGCAGTCAATCCGCGGGGACTGCAAAGTCTTCAATTGTGGCAAGCTGATGTCAAAAAGTATCCATCCTTTGGGAGGCTCAAAAATGTTCATGTTTCAGTAGATACATTCTCAGGTGCAGTCTTTGCCTCAGCACATGCAGGGGAAACAGCAGACCTTGCTTGTAGACATTTTCTGCAAGCATTCGCATCATTAGGTGTGCCTCAGGAGATAAAAACAGACAATGGTCCAACATATACAGGCAGGGTGCTTGACAGATTCCTGAAAAGATGGGGTGCCAAACATACATTTGGTATTCCACATTCACCCACAGGTCAGGCAATCATTGAAAGAACACATCACACCCTGAAATCCCTTCTGGACAGACAAAGAAGGGGTGAGCCAGAGGTAACACCTCACATGAAATTAAATAAGGTGTTGTATGTGATGAATTTCTTAAATAGTTCATCCTCAGAACCTAATCCGCCAATCGTGAGGCATTTTTTAAACAGCACACAGGCAAAGCTAAGGGAAAATCCTTTAGTTTTGATCAGAAACCCAGAGACAGGACAAATAGAGGGCTCTTTCAAACTAATCACTTGGGGCAAGGGTTTCGCTTGTGTTTCCACAGATTGTGGTCTGAAGTGGGTGTCAGCGCGACACGTGAAGCCATTTCGAAAGTGAGAACAGGAGAACGCTG